GGCGGAAAGGGCGGCCGACGTGCGCGCGCGCCCCGCAAGCGAGGACGGGCGGGCGCGGCGGGCTTGGCGCGTCCCGGTTGGCGGAGGCGCGCGGAGATGCGCCTTGGGTGGAAGTTGCGCGGTGACGGAGAAGGCGGTTGGAAGTCGGAATGCATGCAAATTTTGCATCCCGTGCCCGGCGCGCGCCCGCCCCGCCCCTGTGGAACACCGCGCCTGCTGCCGCTGCGGCAGTCGTGGTGGCGCCCCTGCTCGCCAGTGCGCCTCGCAAACGCCTCCCGGGGTCGCGTTGCGCGCGGAGTCGGGAAATGGGCTCACGGCATTGCGAGTCGCTAACTCGCAAACGATTTTGCACGGCCGACTCCTTTCCCGCCCCGGCGAGGAGGCGGCTTTGACTATGTCGACGTCCCAGGCTGGTAAGTGGCTGGTTCATTCCAGACGTGTCCGTTGTTATCAGATATCTTATTTTTTAGTAAAAATTGACTTGATGTGAGTCAACACTCCATTCTATTTGCACAAGTGCCCATTCTATTTGCACAAGTGGCCTACTGATGAGGCAAACTGCTCATCGCAGCCTCATACTGTGTATCCAGAACAGGTACAGAGGATTGCACTCTCAACAAAGAGTGAATCAGTTCCAAGCGACCCTGCAGCCACAGTACCCTTGGTACAGTATATATTAGTACTGTACCCACTCTACATACAGTACCCTATGTACAGCACGATTACGCCATGGCACAGGTAAATTACTCGTGGGCATGCAAAAAACAGCAAAGGATGTCGTGCTTTCAGCACTGAAATCACTTCCGCAAATTCAAAACCGCTCACCCTCTCATTGGACGTTTCTAAGCCGGCCCAAACCTTTCTGTAATTACTGTAAAGAGCCGTCGCTGCCACGTGTCCTACTTCCCATGGGCCTTCCTCCTTGATTGATTCCCTCGCCTACACATGGCGAGCGTCCTCCTCGTCCGATCCACGCGCTAAACACCGACCAGCCCTATCTTCAACTCGAGCCCAACTATCCTCCTTCCAAACCTTCCCGCGACAGCGACATCCAACACCGCGCCTCCCTCGCTTCACACCCGTCCCTCTTCGCCATGGTCTCGCAACCGCCGCCGCCATCCGCCGCGCCACCCGTGGACGACCTCCCGATCGACATCGATTACGCAAAGTTCCTCACCTGGCTCGTCGACCGCCGCCGCGTCCCGCGCGACTGGCACGCGCGTCTCAAGACCGCGCGCGCCTTGGCGCGCCACGCCGTCACGCAGACGCCCGCCGCCGCCTTGGCGGCCGTCTCGCTCCCCGCGAACCCGCACTACTTTGCCGCGGTCGACGCCCTCGCCGCGCTCACCGACGCGGCCGCCCCACCAGAATGGGACGCCGGCCCGCACAAGGACATGCTGGGCCGCTACAAGGGCCGCGCCGCGCGCGCGTGGGCGGCGGCCGTCGCCACGTATGAGAAAGCCGACGTGTACTTGGCGGACTGTGCACAGCTCCTTACGCGCAACACGGACGTCGAGGCGAAGAGCCTCAAAGGGAGGATGGCCAAGCTGCAGACGGAGGCAGCAGAATATGCACAGCGGGACGCGCCGACCGTCCGCGCCGCTAAGGAGGCACGGGATAGGTTTGAAGGCGCGTGCGCAGAGTTTGGCTTGCCAGCGGAGGGGGAGTGTGACTATGAACGCGAATTGAGGGACGCTGTCGAGAAGAGGGTGCCAGAGGTGCTTGCGAGCGCCGTAGAGATGGCGAAGGGGAGTGGGATGCGGGAGGCAGTCGCGTATTATGACGAGTTCGTGCGGTTGGGAGGGAAGGAGGAGGGAGACGTCTGTTTGACGGTGCGGAGGGTCTTGGAGGGAGACGTGGCGCAGTTGATACGGGCAGTGGAGAAGAAGGAAGAGGAGGTGGCAGAGGTCGACTGGGGGATTTCCGCAGAAGATGGTGGAGAGGGTAATGCGGAGGGGGGGGAGATTGACTGGGGGATTGAGATTGATATGACCGGAGAGGGGGAGGCGATCGAGGGAGACGTCGGGGCGGGGAGTAGCGCGGCGCAAGGCGGGGCGATTGATTGGAATGATGGTGGAAATGCAACGGTTTTAGATGAGGTCGCGACGGAGGTGGATATGGAAGAAGGGGAAGAGCGGGACGAAGATAGTTTCACGCTGGCAGATGCGTCGTCGCGGGAGGTGTATTTGCACGAGCTGATTGAGTTGGATGCGTTTCTGGGCCAGCGGGTAGCGGAGCTGTCGCGGTCTGGTGACTCAGAGATTGGGCTCGTTCTGCAACAATGGAGCGAGCGCCCCAGCTGTATGTCGCGACTGGACAGGTCGCAAGTTGACAAGCTGCGCGACAACGTGCGCGGCTGCACGCGTGCGCTAAACGGGGCCGAGACGCGGCGGCTGCTGGCGCTGCAGCGGGAGAAGCGTGTCGTAGCGCGGGCCGCGCGCGACGTGGTCGAGAAGAAGCACGCGGCGGAGCGCATGCACGCAGCGATCGATGTCGTCAGACGGAGGAAAGAGGGAGCCACAGCTGAGCTGAAGGAGGTCGCCGAAGAGTGGGCCGTTGTCGAGAAGGAGACGGCCGCGGTCAAGAGGAGGACGGAGAAGGCTTTGGGGGGGCTTTATCGCGGGAGACGCGTGGTTATTATGGGGGAGATAAACCAGGTTTTCGCAATGGGGTGAGGGGGGAGCGGCCTGGGCAGTGTGGATTACGAGGCTTCTCTTTGTTTGGCATAGACTGTTTTCAGTTACAGCTGCGTGCCCCGGTGCTATCTTGCGACGATATGAGAAAAGTACGCTATGGTCATCTGTGCTACACAAGGGAATTACCGATGCTAAGACTCGCCACGTCACACTCGACGCCATCTCATCATCCTATTGCAGCTTGCCAGCACGACACTCAAGCACTGGCGAGCACCTCAATTCTTGTGCAGCGTCCCCCAACTTTATACAGCATTCTTGCTCGATAAGGGCACGTTGGAAAAGCTGGCGGAGGTATGATCACTAGGCTCGGCCCAACGCAGGCACTTTCTATAAAGATAATCCCACAGCAGAACGATTTGCTGATTCGCAATGTCTGGAGGTCCCAGCGGAATAGTCTTTCTTTGAAGGTACATATTCTCACACAATATGAGCGATTTCTTAAAGTATGGAGGACCCAATGAAGAAGCTTTTCTGGACCCCCAAAATCCCGCATATATTCATTCAGATCGACGATTCCGGAAATTTGCCTCACGGGGTCATTTTCCCAGGTTACTTTGCCGGCCGGGATGGGCCTTCAGGAACTGCGTGACCTTAGCAAGCGGGCTGTTGCAGAGCGATAGTAACGCTGTAATGAAAAAGGAAGTGTCTCGAAAATGTGCATGCTTTGTCAAAAAGCATTGAAAAGTATTCCGAAGGTGAGCTTTAATTTCAAGCGTTGCGGACATTCGAATCTATACAGGAAATATCTGCCCAGATATACTTACAAATAGCAGCTACCGGTTATCCAGTTATCATCCCGTAGCCGTAACAGCGATCAGCAACAAAGCGAGTGCGTGCGAGATTCCCGTTTACAAGCTCAACACATGCCTGCGAAGGAGGGCTACATGGTCCGAATTGAGCTCCTAGATCGAAGAGGTCTATCAGGAGTGCTACAGGCGGTGCATATATGATTAGGAGCGATAATGAGCTTTTTATTGCCTATATGCAACGCAGAAGGGATTTTGAGTACACAGAACTGTGCAGGAAAAGTGCTCATAGATTCGATAAGCCATCTGTTTTACACGAGTTCCATTGGGTTTTACACTAGCCTTCCCTCCTTGTCTTCGTTTAACCACTCACAAACAGGGCAGTCGCATGTTACAATATTGGACAAGAAAGTAGTCAGATCTACATCTTCCATATCTACGACGTTATTATTCCTTTGGTACTCAGCAGCAAGATTGAGAAATGCAAACCGAATTCTCAGAAACGGAATAAGATTCTGCCCCTTAAGGTAACGCATATGGTGGGTGACTCTATCTATGCGTGCATTAAAGGACTCTGCTGTTGTGGTACGCTGGGTGTCGAGTTCTGCGTAGCTGTCCGGGTCAAAAAAAGAACAGCACTTCTGCGATTAGTAATGAAAACGGTCCACCACCAGGCGGCTCCAGTGAATTAGCCAAGGGGTTCTCAGAATAGTGGATGAGAACATGTTACATGCATTATCATAGTATATGACTCGAGGTGGGATTTGAAAGTGGTTTAATGCTGTTGACAACGCAAGTGACGTGGACTCAGCTCTTGTCATGACCACAAACCCAATTAGTTTCGGATTTTCACAAGCGCACTGTACAGTCAGAAGTCTAGGAGAATGTCTATCCGAAAGAGGATATTTCATGGTGCAGTGATGTGTCTCCGCTCCCTCGAAAACAATTCCAGGGCGACACTGACGTCTTCCAGGGAAACAAATTCCGTTTACTTCCTGATCTTTACGCAATGAGTCTGTATCAGTATCCACCCTGCTTCTCGAATCTTTCATTTCTCCACGATGGTGATTAATTAATCCAGATCTCGTTCCGTCTCCGATCTGGGTCTCTGTGACAGATGCATACAACTCCCAGAACTTGACAGATTCCGGGGAGATTTTATTTTCCAACGTTCGAAAATATTCCTCCGCCTTCTCGATGTGACGCGTCATGCATTGGGAGACAACGTCAGCCATATTTCTTGCCTGAGATATGTGAGTTCCTGAGCTTAGAAGCTCGAATAGAAATCTCGAAACGACAGGGTTGACCCTTCGGACATTCATAAGTTCATTGCAGACATTCTCACAGCATTGCAGGCATGGATATTCAAACAACGAAAGATTTGTATTATGGTTGCAATGAGCAAAGTCGTTGAGATTGTCCGTCAGTCTTCTATACATCCAAAAATATGGTTCTGCCATTGCCCGGCTGCTCCTTCTAAGGACTCCTGGACGAGTAAAGCGGTTCCAGCACACTGTAGTATAATGACCGGCGCGAGCGCGCGGAGGTCATCGGACGGCCGTATACGGTATACACGTGGGCGGTTGTGCCCACGTGTAGCGAGCGCGCGCGCATGCCGAGCGGTCGTAATCTGGCGTACGTGTACAGTAGTGCACGTGTCGTCCGAGCAGCAGTCGACGCGTGTTACGTGTGCGCGTTAGCACACGTGTCGTCCGTGCGGTAGTCTGTAAGCAACACGCGTGTACAGTAGTGCACACGTGTAGTAGCAGCGTCCGTGCGGTAGTAGCAATTATGGCGCTACCTTTTTAATTGTGTACAGTACCCGGCACGCACTAGGCGGCAGGTACTGTACTACTGTACTGGGACAGGTGTCCGAGGCGTCCCTCTGCGGGGTTAAGACCTGGCACCCGTCCCCACCAGTAAACGGGGGCAAGCTCGCCCTCGTCTCTTTTGCGCCTACGTACGTCCGCTTTCGGTTGTCTGTCGCGCGCGCTGGCTTCTAACCCGTTACCGATCGCTCCCGTTCACGCACCACGGGGCGACTGCGCGTAACCGACCAGTGAGCCACTCCCTTTTCGCGAGCTCGTCCGATCGGTTCAATTGGCGCGTCGCGTCCGCGTCGCGTGCTCCCTCGCTAAAGCCTCCGCCTCTCACCCAACCCAGGGCGGAGAGGAGTTATCCCACATTTGGTACTCTTGTGGAGGGGATAACTCTTGAGGTTGAGCCGCACGCGTAGTCGCTCGATCGCGCGCAGAACCGTACGGACGGAAAAGGTTGAGAAATCACCGCGTCGATCGCGAAGTGTATTCGACGATGAACCGACCGGATCAAGGGGGAGACTCCGCCTCCGGGCGTCTGAGCACCCGCAGTGGCAGTGGCGCACCGCGCCCCCGGGTGGAGAACCCGGAAGCCCTGCTGCGACCGCCACCGCGACCGGGCCGCACGCGAGCGTCCGCATCGGATGTGACGCCGGCCGTGTCGGCAGGCACTGAGAATCGCGTCCAATGGATGGTCGACGCGATTCAGCCGCGCATCCAGGCCTGGGTCGAGGAGTTCCTCGCTACGGAACTCCCCCAGGTAGCGCGCGTATGCCTCGACCGAACGGTGCCCGCGCTCGTGGACGCGCACGTACGCAGCGCGATACCACCGCTTTTGGACGAACTTCTACCCGCTCAAGTCCAATGCGAGGTGGTGACCGCGCTCACCACTGTGGATGAAGAATCCCCGTCCGGCACGGCTCTAAAGATAGCGATCAGCTCCGCCGTGGCCAATCTTCTGGCCACGACCTTCGCCGGAGCAGGAGTCGACGCACGCGAGCAGCGCAACTCAACCGCTCCGGACCCTACGCTACCGCACGCTGAACCGATCGGCGCCGCACCCGGGATCGGTACAATGGCCCCTCACCCGGAGGGTAAGACCATTTACCTCCCACCAATTTATGGTGCTACAGGAGGGCCCACAGAAAATGGCCCTCCCGTACTCGCCGATACGGGTGGCCCCTGCGGGACAGAAACCGCCTGGGGCGCTTCGCGACAGAAAAGCGACAGCCGTATCAGTCGGGCAGAAGCAGCGCACCCGGCGCTCAAGGCTACACCTCGGAGGGTACAGAAAACCCCTCCGAGGAAGAAGACACAAGACGTCGCCACAGGGCGACGCGCAAGAACCGCGACGGACGCTACGCGCGATACCGCGATGCCGGAGGGGTCGGTTACCCCTCCGATGATAACCGCGACGGACGCTACACGCGATACCGCGATGCCGGAGGAGGTGGATACCCCTCTGATGACGAGGACACCGAGTCGGACGGATCGCGCAGAGGCGACCGCAGAGGCCGCAATGCGCGCGACCGACGTCGGTTCCGGCGAGAAGACTCCGATCCGGAGGGCTACAGTAGCCCCAGCGGAGAAGGAGACCGCCGTCGCAGGGGCAGAGACCGCCGGTCTGCCCCGAGGCGGGATCCGAAACGGTTGCCGGTGATCAGACCGCTGAACGACCTGTTCACCAAGGCCGTCGACCACCGCACGTATAGGCTGGAAAATCGCAGCGCGCGCTACGACGCGAGTACCGCGCGGCGAGTTAACCGATATCGGAAGAAGTTGGACGTCCAGCTGAAAACCCACACATTCGGTGGTCAAGATCCAATCGCGGTGCTAGGATTTCTCGCGCGCTTCAAGATGGCCTGCGACCACAATGGGGTCAGCGAAGGTGCGGCCGTATGGTGTTTCCAGTTCTATGTGACTGGGCAGGCTCACGCCTTGCTCCAGTCCAGGCTACACGGGAACACCATGGCGGTCGATGCGGAGCAGCGCGATATGCTCGAAACCTACGCGGAAGTTGTTAACTTTTTATTGCGCACGTACGCGACTGACAAAGTTATTTCCGAAGCGGTCGGTGATGTCACCTCCTTCCGTCAGAGCTCTAATATGACGGAGGAGGTGTACAGTAACCAGTTGTGGGACAAGGCGTTGCGCTGCGGAACCGTATTTTCGGACAGGCGCTTGAAGTCCCTTTTCGTTGAGGGACTTCTGCCAGCGACGTGCGCGCAGGTGCGGAATTATCTAGCGACGCATCCGGGCGTGGACTACCCAGCAGTGGCACGCTACGCGCAAGCGATAGGCGAGACGCACCGCTCGGCTCGAATACATGCGACCTCGCTCGCGTCGCCTCAAGCACCGTCCGATTCGGTGAGAAGGTTCACGCGCAACGCGCGGACAAGGCCCGTGCTGTCGGTCG